ACATGCTTAAGGAGGAATGGAGGCCTCACACTTATACACTCACCCACACGATTATACACACGTACACACACCATACTCACTCACTCCCTAATGAGCCAAATGATAACACACACCTACAGCAATGCACACGCTTACACATATCATACACACTCACTCCCTAAGAACCAAATAACACACACACAAACACTAAACAGAGACACATCCCCTCACCAGGTCCAATAAAACTGTCAAACTGACCAGAGAATTCAGGATAAAATGTATCTTATCCAGTTCTTATCTCAAATAACAACTTAAAAGAGACTGTTTGACCAACACAAGGAATGTTAAAAGATTCATGTTAAAAAAGATAAAAAATAAAAAACAAATGAAAACTACAGACAAAAGTTCATTTTCTCCAACAAAAAGACATTCATTTCTGTAGTTCCTTGCTAACAGCAAGCAGAAATATTTCGCCTCCCGATGATGGCCATTTCGGTCGAAACTAGTCGAGGAATTTAAATGGAATAATAATAATAATAAAAAAACGAAAGAATATTAATCTACAACCCAGTGTGTCTAATGATTTTAATTTTTTAATTTTTTAATTTTTAATTTTCTTATTGTTCAAAATATAATCATGAATAATGGACACGGGACTGAACCAAATGCCGAGGACATAACACCAACAGAACCAATAAACACAGAATTATTGGCTATCCGCATGAATAGAGCAACCAACAAATTAGCCAGGTATGAATCACACCGGGAATATATTGGGATATGCCTGAAGGATCGATTAGTACCAACTAATTTCAGGATTGATTTAGAACCTTCTATAGGTAACCACAATGACGCGTTTCTAGCATCATGGTACCGTAAATTAGAAGACTTCTCCAGGAGCTCATGCAGGATACCATGCAGTTCTGCCAAGAAAACATAACCGCAACAAAAGCAGAAATTAACCTGCTCGATGAGAAAATAAAAAAACAAACGGACACGGAAGAATATACCAACATCAAGAATGTCATAAAAGCTCACACAGACCAAACAGTGAGGGAACTACAAAAAACAAAAACTGAAAAACAAAGGAAATTAAGATGGAATATTTCCTCCAGACAGAGGAACAAAAAAGAAATGAAGCCAAACTCTGAAAAAAGTGAACGACCATATCCAAAAAGAAAACAACAAAACACCGCCACCACACAACCAATGCAAACACAAAACAGACCAAATAAGTACACCTACAGACAAACAGCAGCACCACAACCAACAATAACAACACCGCCACCATCAACAATAGCTAGAACCTCAATACAAACACACACACAAAACAAACCACTAACCTACGCGGACATCCTTAGGGTGCCGTACAAACATACACAAACCAAAACACAGCAGCCCTTCTACAGAACGCATAACTCCATTAGACAGCCCAGACCACCTAGATTAGCCCCTAGTAGACAGTCAACAACAGACACACCCAACCTTAAAAAAAACGGAATAAGCCCCAACCAGGACACCTGGGTGGGGGTATAGCATCCCTAATAGGAGATATGATGCTAGCTTTCGAGCTTTTACAAAAGAACTTCGCCATGCTTGCAAATTCAAACTTGACCCATACGGGCGAGTTATAAATTTGAGTAACAATAAATTTCCACTCAATACATTCAGGGTATTAAATAAAGGACTAAGCTTTTGTCCTAGTCCCCCAAGATTTGATAAAGACACCTTGGCTAAGGACCTGAAATCCTTCTTTAGAAGAATACGGTTAAAAGCCCACTATGGGGAAAATGATCATACACCTTCTATACTTGAGACATTAAAAGAGAAGGATACTACCTACACCCCACAAAACACAGACATTACTATACAGACATTCGAACTAGCCGTAACAAATGACATAAAGAAAACAATAGCACGTAAGCTGCCACGTGACAATATGACTGAAGGAGAACGTATAGCCCTCGATACACTGACACATAGGGATGACGTAATCATAACACAGGCTGACAAAGGGGTGCGACAGTGATCTGGGGAATCGAAGAATACGTTAAAGAGGCCAACAAACAGCTAGCCGACAAAGAAACCTACAAAAGCATACCTACAGATCCCCTTCCAGAATACCAAAAAGAATTAACTAGCTCACTAAACTTAATGCTTCGCAACAATCTAATCGACAAGGAAACATGCACAACACTTACACCCACAAACATTACACCTGCCCGCTTCTATCTCCTTCCTAAAATACACAAAAGCAACAATCCAGGAAGGCCGGTTATTTCATCGTTCAACTGCCACACGACAAAAAAATTTCCAAATACATAGACCATTACATACAACCGCTAGCTAAGGAAGTAAAAATCCTACATCAGAGACACAACAGATCTACTGAACAAAATTAATCACATACAAACAATACCAGAGAAAGCTATTCTAGTGACTATGGACGTTAGGTCACTATATTCAAACATTAAAACATCGAAGGGCTGGCCGCCCTTCAGGAAGCACTTACTAAAAGAAGAAAACAGGACCCCCCACTGAAGTCATCATAAAACTCATGGAGCATGTCCTTACATTGAATACTTTCAACTTCAATGGAGCACACTACCTTCAAATAAGAGGTTGTGCCATGGGCACCATTGCAGCTCCATCATATGCTACAATATTCATGGGAAAATTTGAGGAAACCCATATCTATCCAATCATTGGTAGCGACTGCGTATTCTATGCAAGATATATCGATGATATATTCTTTGTATACACGGGTAGTGATGACAAACTTACCCAATTCCTTATGACCCTAAACACAGTGCACGACTCAATTAAGTTTGAATATGAAAATCCACAACATCAGTAACATTTTTAGACACCCGCATTTACATAGATGAAAACAGGAAACTACAAACGACACTACACACTAAAATCACCGACACCCACAACTATCTACACTTTAAGTCTTCCCACCCTAAACACCTCAAAGCGAACCTTCCCTATTCACAAGCACTTAGACTCAGAAGGATATGTTCCAACAATGAAGAATTAAATAAACACATTGAAAATCTGGAGCATCAATTCACAACACGTGGCTATAAACAACACCTAATCAGGGAACAAATAAATAAAGCAATTTCCACACCTAGAGAAGACACCCTAATATACAAGATTAAAAATAAATCTAGCCGCATCCCTCTAGTAACCACTTTCAATCCCACTCTGCCTCCACTATCCCAAATAATCAAACGTCGCTGGGAAATACTACATCTCAAACCAGACCTAAAAAAAAACTGCTTAAGGAACCCGGCCTTCTGGCATATCGTAGACCTAAGAACCTAAAAGAAATCATAGGTAGTAACCACATTTCAGGGGACAAGGTAATCCGTAAGAAACTGAGAACAAAAACAACAGGATTTTCCCAACCATGTAACAACAAAAGAAGTTTATGTTGCAACCATATTAAAAACACGAATTCATTCACTAGCTCAATCACTAAATCTACTTTCAAAATCTACCACGATTCTAACTGTAGAAGTCAAAACATAATTTACCTCCTAGAATGCACACTATGCCAGAAACAATATGTAGGAAAATCTGAATGGCCCTTTAACTACAGAATTAATAATTATCGTAAGCGAATTAAATCGACTCCCTATGAGCAGTTATTACCTGTAGAACAACATTTCCGCCTAGAAAACACGATTTCAAAACCCATGCCAGATTCACTATAATTGAGAGAATAGAAAAGTTCAGAGCAGATAACATTAGAAAAATTTTAGAGTCCCATGAAAATAAGTGGATACAACGTCTAAAAACACAATACCCAGCCGGGCTAAATCACAAATTTAACAACATATAATGGTAACAATCAAATCAAAACCTACCCACATTTCTCACCCACACAAGACAGACATGCTTAAGGAGGAATGGAGGCCTCACACTTATACACTCACCCACACGATTATACACACGTACACACACCATACTCACTCACTCCCTAATGAGCCAAATGATAACACACACCTACAGCAATGCACACGCTTACACATATCATACACACTCACTCCCCAAGAACCAAATAACACACACACAAACACTAAACAGAGACACATCCCCTCACCAGGTCCAATAAAACTGTCAAACTGACCAGAGAATTCAGGATAAAATGTATCTTATCCAGTTCTTATCTCAAATAACAACTTAAAAGAGACTGTTTGACCAACACAAGGAATGTTAAAAGATTCATGTTAAAAAGATAAAAAAATAAAAAAACAAATGAAAACTACAGACAAAAGTTCATTTTCTCCAACAAAAGACATTCATTTCTGTAGTTCCTTGCTAACAACAAGCAGAAATATTTCTTTCCCGATGATGGCCATTTCGGTCAAAAGAAACTAGTCGAGAATTTAAATGGAATAATAATAATAATAAAAAAACGAAAGAATATTAATCTACAACCCAGTGTGTCTAATGATTTTAATTTTTAATTTTTTTTTTTTAATTTTCTTATTGTTCAAAATATATATATATATATATATATATATATTGAACAATAAAAAAATTAAAAATTAAAATCTTCAGACACATTGGGTTGTAGATTAATATTCTTTCGTTTTTATTATTATTACTTCATTTAGATTCCTCGACTAGTTTCGGCCAAAATGGCCATCATCAGGAGAAGAAATATATCGGGAGAGAGAAATTGAAAATGCTGTTGGAGTCTTTAAGAAATAACTTTACCGGATTCACAGTTCTATGATCTTCAACAGTTAACTTGAGGAGAGACGTGTGGGTATGCCATGATATGTCTCGCATCTATATATATATATATATATATATATATATATATGTATAAGAGAGTGCTGAAAAGTTCTCAGTTTGAAGAACTGCCCAAAATCTGTATTCTAATGTTTGGTCACGGAAATAATGATTTGTTTGTGTAGTTCGTGACGAGAACTTTTCGCCGCCATCTTGTACACACACACACACACACACATACAAAAAAAACACACACACACATTGCCTCTATGTCTCGCTCTCTCTCTCTCTCTCTCTCTCTCTCTCTCTCTCTCTCTCGCTGTTTCTCTCTTCATTTGTACGCACAAATACACACGCTCTCTCTATCTCTCTCGTCGTTTTTATCTATTTCTTTATCTTTAACATTTTTTTCCTCTTTCTCAAGCTATGTTATTTTCTTTCTCTCAATCCCCCTCTCTCTCTCTCTCTCTCTCTTTATTTCTCTCTCTCGACTATTTGATACATTTTTTCACTCACTTTTTCTCTCTCATGATTTCTTTCTTTTGCACGTCTCACTCCTTCTTTCCTTTCTTCCTTTCTTCCTTTCTCTCTCTTCCGATCATTTTATTATTTTTATACTCTGTCTATTCTTTGATGTGTCTTTCTTTCAATCATTTTATTTCATTTATAATCATTTTCCTTTGCTTTCATTCATTATCTTTCTCTTTCTGTCATTTTATCAATCATTTTCTTTATATATTTCAGTCCCGTGTCGTCTGTTTTCCTTTCTTTTTCTGTCATTTTTTTTCTCTCTTCTTTTAACTCCCTCCCACCCTCTTTCACACAATCATTTGCTTTGCATTCTTCCTCTTTTTTTCTTTCTCTCTCCCTTCCTATCTCTCTTTCATCTCTTTTTCGTTCTCTCTCTCTTTCACTCTCTCTCTTTTTCTCTTCTCCTCCTGTCAATCATTTTATTTTTATTTCAAAATCTTCCGTTTGTATTTCCATCTCCATTTTTCTATCAATGATTTGCTTTATATTTTTTTACATTCTCTCTTCTTCTCTTCCCCTTCGTTTCACTTTCTCTCCCTCTATCTCTACCTATCTATATATATATATATATATATATATATATCTTTTTCTCTTTCTTTCACACAGCGACATACGCATGCACCCATTAAGCACTGCACATCCGCCTACACAACAAATTTCGAACACGTACATTGGTAACACTGCAACTCAAAGGCTTACGGCTTTTCTCTTGCAAACAAACAATGTGGTTTTGTCACCTAATTAAATTTTCTATGCTATTGAATTTCACGGAAACCAATTTAGTTACTTAAAGCATCGCTTGTAATTGGCTATTGTTGGATTTCATTATATCTCCTAGGAGAAGACGCAACGTTAAAAAGATAAGAACAAATTTTAATTCGTTAAAATATACATTTATATCTAGATATATATCAATTGCCGATTTACGATATCACTGATATATATATATATATATATATATATATATATATATATATATATATATATATATATATATATATATATATATATATATAGTTATATATATTTAGGCAGCAATCCTTCGTTTATGCATTTTTCCTTTAAAACGACAGACAAGGTACTACGGTTGAGCTTTTCATTTAATTTTTCTTGTGTTCTAACAAGAGCTTTCTTTTCTGGACAAAGGGTGTGTAAAAACTGTCCAAATGTTTTATATTTCCGAGCGCTTTCGGCTATACCTTTAGCCATTATCAAGGATGATTCGATTTTTCAGCTTAATTGAGTGTGTGCATTATGTGTATGTCTTAGTGTGTAGTAGAGATGTTTTAATTTCCGAATACGGTTAGCACATTGTGGCCTTGTTCGTAGTTAATAATGTTAAGAGTTGTCTTTTTCTTTTTATTATTAAAGCTTCCATTATTTTTAGTCTTTTTTTGCAGATGCAGTTAATATATTTGTGTTTTCTACTAGTATGTTTCTAATGGAGTCGGGTAAGTTTGTGTATGTGTTTAAATGGGTTCTAAAAATTAAATAAAAAGCATGTGTGTGTGTGTGTATGTGTGTGTGTGTGTGAAATTAGGAAGCTGAGTTCAAATTCTAAAAGATTTCGTTT